TGCTGAGCATCTCCGGAAAAAAAGCCGTGCAGAAAGTAACTAGGGCGCTGTTGTCTTTTATGGCGACTAATGAAACGTAGCAAACCGGTAAGGAGATTTAAATTAGCTTGGATTATTCATTGAGCTGATGGCAACCAGCTTAAACAGAATACAGTGTGCTGCAACCAAGATAGCAAGCAGGCAGAGGAGCGCAGGGGCTGTTAGAGAAAGCCAGCTCTAAAGTTGAGATGGTCGTTGTGAAATAAAGTGCAAGTCCTGAAGAACTCAAGTAAAAATCTGTGAATAAGATCTAATGGTTGTTTTAGAACCAATAGAGGGAGCACCACATTCTTTTTTATTTTTTAAATAAAGACATCATGGTTTGCAAAGTTCTTGGAGATTTACTTATAATGCACACATACACACATTGGCTGACAGCTTTACTTCTTTGAAGACTGAGAATAGACTTGGACATTAATAGTACAGTGTGTGAATGTTTGTTGGTTTTACTTTGCTGTAATAATTGTTTTTTTAAAAACATTCTCCTTGAAGCCAACATGTCTCGAGAAACTGGAAGTGAAGCGCAGCAGTCTCAAGGTGCTGAACAGTCACAGAGTGGTACCAGTTCCTCTTCCAGTGGGTCACAGAGTACTAGTCAGTCTTCCTCAAGTTCTGGGACCCTCAGTTCTTTGGACACTGTTCCCACTCAGGAGCTTCCATCCATCCCTGAGGACCAGGAATCTGAAGAGCTTGTTTCTCAGCCTTGGGGCCGACTCTTTGCACTTGGAAAAGGCTTCAGCAATTGTGGTATGTGCATACTGTAATAAACTTCTTGGTTCATTTGTAGTACCTCAGAAAAATTTTGAGCAGCTTGGTAGAGAGCAGTGTCTTTTCATTTTCAAATTAAGTACAAGCAAGTTTAAGTACAAGCTTGGAACTTCTGTTTTATGCTGTACTACATGCCCGTGTTTATACTGAGTACCCAGATACACAGCTTTCATAGACTTAGAGGAATTCTGAGGCATTCATGTTCTTTGTTACTTGTTTCATTTTTCCATTTCATAGTTAATTTTTTTTATGTATCATATAAGTCTGTATTGCTGAAGGTGAACTGAAAACTCTACTATTACTAAAGAGGGTAAAATTATTAAAATATTGTACAAGGTATTGATAGTGTATGGTGCTTGTCTGAATTAAGACAAATAAACTTGATTGCATAGGAAGAACCTTGTCTTTGTTATCCTACTTGCTACCATTTGGCATCATTCTGTAGTGCCATAGTTAATAACTTTCCACAATTTTGTGTTCTCTTTCTGCTTTACTTCCCCCTCCTCTACAGACTGCGTGAATGATGAATACTGGTTTGGAAGAGACAAAAGCTGTGATTATAGTTTTTCTAAGTTAGGATTGTCTGAGACTGGCTTCTACCAAAACTATAGCAAGAAGCATTTCCGAATTTTCAGGGTAGGTGCTAAAAAGGTTAACTGTCTTTTTCTGTCTTGGCATAATTGAAAAAGATTGACTTTGGCAGGGGTGGATCCTAAAGAAATCAAAGTTTAAGTACTTTCAGTGTTGACACCTTTAACAAGACTCTTGTCAATGCTCCATTAACCTGATTTCCTGAGCCAAAAATAGTAATTTTCTATAGTCTGTCATGTCTTTACAGCAAAGTAAAATAATTTTTTCCCTACTGTTATCTTTCCCCCCCTTTTTTTTTCTCTTTGAGGAAATGGGTCCAAAAAATTCTTACGTTGCCTACATTGAAGACCACAGTGCAAACGGAACTTTTGTTAATAGAGAGCTCGTTGGAAAAGGGAAGAGGCTTCCACTGACTCACAACTCTGAAATTGCACTGTCTATACAGACTAATAAGGGTAAAATGTACTATAACATAAGTAGGTTCCTCATGTGTTGACCAAGAGGTCATTTCTGCAGTGATTGGAATATGTTTGTTCCAAGCTGAGCTTCTTCATGAGTGCTGTTAAAATACAGCTATGAATTAATGTTTTAGTACTTGCATAAAAATTATCCATATCCACCTCAACCCGGGGAAAAAAAATTAAAAGAAGCTGCATCAGGAACCACCTTACTAAAGTATAAACTTTTATAGTTGTTTTCCTAGTTTTGAAACAAACATTTTTTGAAAAATTTTTGTGCTTCAGTAGCTGTGTATGTGGTGGTGGGAGCAGGGGAAACAATTCAAGGGAAGTTGAGAAAACCCCAGGTACTTACCAGATGCTGCATAATAAAAAACCCTTTTAAAAATTAGCAGGGTTGGGGGTTTGTTTCTTTCTCGTTGCTTTTCCACTAAGATGCTCCCTTCCTGATTGTCTCTTCTGTTTGTTCCTGCAGTGACATTGAAATGCTTGCCTATTTTGTCCTTAAACGTGGTTAATTGATTAAGCACTGTTGTGAAGTCAGTTTTCGGTAATAAGATCACCTTGCTAACATATAGCTGATGTAATTTATAGCATCAACTTGTTTATACATTTGTGTTTTGCTTCTAGCAGGCAGCATTTTCTTAGTAATGTTGCTGACTATAAAAGCTCGGGAAGCATAGTTTTTTGTTTGTTGTAACAAAATTTTAAAGTTAATAATGGGAAAATGATCTCCACTCATCTTCCTAGTGTTTGTATTTTCTGATCTTATGGTGGACGATCAGTTGGTGTTTCCTAGAGAATTCAGAGAGAAATATATCATGTCAAAGACTTTGGGAAGGTAAGCATCCTTCTTTCCGCAGTATTAAGGGTTAATTTTGTTACCATTTTCAGTACCTTGTGCTGGAATTATTACCAGTGTTAACTGAGCTGCTGTTTTAAAAAAAAAAAAAAAAAAGAAATAACACCTGAGTAAACCTGTTCTTTACAAAAGCTTACACAGGAATTTTGGCTTTATTCCTATAATTGGCCTGGGTTTTGTAGTCTACCATTAATTGTGAAACCCATTTTTTTTTTTCTCTAAAAGAGAATACATTCTTAAGAAGTTTTTAAATTTTGTATAATAATTTACTCAGTTATTGGAAGTAGAAGGAAGAGCTTTATGTAAGAATACAGCTTTCTACAACATCACTGTTAAGGCCTTCAGACAGAAGGGGAAAGGACGGTTTTCAGGAAAAAGGAGAGAGGCTATCTTAAGCAGAGGCTATTTTTTCATCTTTTGGGAAAAGATGGCCACTGAAGAATTTGGAGGAGAATGAGTGGAAACAAATCCAAGTGCAAAATACAAGGATTTCTTTCTGTAACACAATTGCTACTTAGTAAAAATAAAAGTATTGTCATACCTATTCTTCAGATTTGTGCAGTCCAGTGTTCAGAGAACTCTTCGCTAGGTTCTCTTCTCGTAAATGCATCTGTGTGATGGAAATGCTGACAGAGCTTTTATTTTTTTTTAATCCTTGATATTCACTGATACCCTTTGTACAAACAGATAACTTGGTCTACATATTTACTCCTGCATTTTTTTAATGGCTGGCCCTTGACATCACTTGCCATTTAAATAAACTTCCTAGCTATTGAATGCTTTCTGAGAAAGTTTTGACAACATGGCATATTCAGAAGTCGAGAAAGCAGCAGCCTCAAATTGTGTGTAATCCAATGCTTTCATTTGTCTATACTTGGTATGCGGATTTTTGAAAGTATTTGTACGCATTAACATAGCTGTGCTTTTATGTTAGTGGTGCCTGTGGAGAAGTCAAACTGGCATTTGAGAAGAGCACTTGTAACAAAGTTGCGGTAAAGATAATCAATAAACAGAAGTTTATGGCAAGTGGTATTAGAGAGGCAGTAAGTATTTTTGCTTGTTTGTCTGTCTTTTGGCCACCTTGCAGTGGTCCTGGAATATTTGGTAACCTCTCTGACTCTTCAGCTCCCAACTAAAGAGGACTTTCTCACTTAATGTCTTCTGTATCTAATTTCAAAATGCCTTTTGATCTTATAGAATCTATAAAATTCTGTGGAAAATGCTTGCTTTTATTCTTTGACCACGCTTCATTATGTTCATAATTTAGGACTGTTTGTTAATGTGTATATACAAAGGGTGGTGGAGAGTTTTGTGGGGTTTATCTCCTAAAATGCATCAGATAGGTACATCATAACCAGTGGAGTCTGACTAAAAATTTACAAACTCTGCTAATTTTTTTGTATTCTCCATCATAGTACTTTTTAATAAATTCATATTACGCTTTTTGGGAAGGGCTTTTTATGTATCTAGTCCTGCAGCGGAAGCCTGAATTTGAAGAAGAACAAGCCAAGTGGCTGTACTCCAACGTGAGAAAGAGATCCAAGCAACTTCTTATCTATTACTTTAATTTTACATAAGGGTATAGGATAAACTTTGAAGAAAAAGAGAGTTAGAGGCAAAAGTGCATGGAGGAAGGAGTTATGTAAGTTGTGCTGCTCTGGATTTGCTAAAGTTAAGTCAAGTTGGATTAACCTTATTAATTTCTTTGATGAGAAAATGGACTTCAGAGCACAGATACAATATACAGAATCTGTTCAAACTGACAAAGTATTTCATTAGGTGTATAGGAACTACGACTTTTGATCTGGAAAATATTTTTGTAACGACAAAAATTCTAAGGTGGCAAGGGAGCTGGCTGAGGAAAAGATGCCAGGAGGCGTCAGTGGGAGCAGAATTAGTTACTAGTGGATGTTTTGAGAATTTGCCTTGAGATTAGTCTTCTGTACTACAGTATGTAGAGATCATGGCACAAAGAGTGGGAATATACCGGTTCAACTCTTTGGCACTGACCCAAAGCCTCTGTTGACAGAAAGGAAGACTGCAGTATCATGTATGAAGAACTGATACTTTTGTATGCTGGAGTAATAGAAGTTAGGTAATGTTCAATAGTGCAAGATGGTTGCACTATTAAACATGGTGGTTGCATTTCAAAATCAATGACAATTTCTGCTATAATCTACACTTTTCCTAGTTCTGAGGAGGAGGTAGAGTTACTTGCAGATGAATATGTGACATCAATGTGATTGAAAATTGCAAAAAGCAATTTTGCAACATTTCTAATAAAGATTAAGAAATGCTGTTGTTATAATTACTAAGAAATAGGACTTCATCTGGAATGTTGTATACTGATTTTATCATATGTGTTCAAAGATGATTGATTTGTATTGGAAGAAGAGCAAAAAAAGAACCTGGGTTGACTTAATGAGTTGAGCCTAAGTCACAGATTAGAAGAATCTGTTTGTCATCTTGCAAAATAAAGCCTAGGATAGTAGCATTTAATTTTAGGGTTAGCCCATATGGAAAGCATCTTGGGGGGAGGAAAGCCGCTTAAAGGACAATAGCGATATATACTTGCCAAGATCTTATTTTTTTCCTAGTTTGGAAATTAGGTGGAGATTTCTAACCTGCAGTGAAATGATATGTCTGGAGCAATATCTTGCTATGGATAGTGAAAGCAGACTGTTAATTTAATTCACTGGAGGCACCTGATCAGTTTATGGAAAAAGATTATATGTTATAGTTAAAGTAGCAAGGGACATGAAACAATGGCTTTTCTGGTATTGTCTCTCATTTCTGATGTGTCTTATTCCAGAACAGCACTGTCTTACCCAATATGATATTTGATTCTTTTAATAGAACCCAGCTTTTAATATCAATACAGAAATTGAAATTTTGAAGAAAATAGATCATGTGAGTGTTACCGTACATTTTTATTCCTTTTTGCTGCCTGCTGTACTTCTGTAGTTTACTGACCTTAGTGTAGTAACTAAAGATCAATTTTATCTGTTTAGAAAATATGTCAAAGGATGCATATAATTTTTCTTGTAAATAAGTCTACTGAACACTTCTTTTTTCTTTTAAGTATACTGTGTCTTTACAGGTTTGAGATTTTAAAACCTTGAGTAACTGAGATGTAAATTTGAGAAGAAACTTCACAGGAGAAGTTTCAACCTGAACCACCGTTGTAGAAATGTTTCCTTGATGTGCGTTTTTGTAAATACTGCCAGATAACCAAATATAAAGATTAATTCCACTAGCAGTTTTTTCAATTTTTATCCCCTCTTTCCCCTGCACCCCGCCCTCACAAAAGGCATTCTTCTGCTTTTGTTAATTAGAAAGTTTGCATAGCTTAATGAATGTTCTCTTGCTTCCCAATGTACTATTGTATATAAAGAAAACAATGAGGGTATTGTAACTCACAACTGGAAAAAATAAGGATACTTGTTGAGCTGTAGTCACCACAGGAGTTGCATGTTTTTGTGTGTGGAGGTGCAGGGGACAAGACAACAGACTTGAACATTAAATGTTTGCTGAAGTCAGTTGTGTTAAGTGTTAGTTTAACTGGCATGGTTGAAATCATACTGAAATAGAACTTTGGGATGATGAACTGTTGATAATGTTAGTTTTTACAAATGATTCTACCTTTTTTTTTATGTGTCCATTTGTGTTCCCTTTTCTATTAGCCTTGCTTAATCAAGATTAAAAACTTCTTTGAAGCAGAGGATTACTACATTGTTTTGGAACTGTAAGTAACTTGTTTGAAAGTAAATGCATAAAATGAAATGTTTTGCATAGCCACAAAGAATGTATTTTTGAACTCTGAGGGTTTTTTCTTTGTTTTGTTTTTCTTTTGCTCCACTGTTCTCTGAAACCTCTGTAAAATTAGGAACTAGGATAACCAGGAGAGTAATCCTTTCACGTTTTGAAGGCACTTAATGCTTGGATAGTTGCCTACTATGCTGCTGTCGTGGATTGCTGCTAATTTTTTGATTTTGAGCTCATACAAGGAGGCTGGTCAAAAATCTTGTAACAACTCACAGTGAAGACTCAGGAGATTAGGCCTAATTCAGCAGTGCATATGCTGTGTTTAGGACATTGCTCACTCATTTTCAGAAATATATTCCTTTTCTGTAGCTGAAATAGCCAAATGGTTTGGTCTCAGTCTTGTCTAATGAGATGAATCTTTTAGAAGTAATATATTGACTTGTTACCTGCATTTGTTTTAGGATGGAAGGAGGAGAATTGTACGATAGAGTGTCAAGGCCAATCAAGATGAAAGAAGCTACCTGCAAGTTGTATTTTTATCAGATGTTGCTGGCTGTAAAGGTACATAAACATGAATTCTACCAAGAAAAATATGGTTATGCATAGGAATGTCAGTCAGATTAATTTTTCTGTTATCTGTCACTTTTAAAACCCGTGCAAGTAATCAGCACAGTGCTCTTAACAAGTTGGGTTAAACATGGTTCTTTACCTCAGTGCAGCCAAAGAACATTCAAACACTCTTACTTATTAAAAACAGGGACTAAAGTCATAATACAGGCTGTACTCATTGATGGCAGGATTATCATGTGAGACTTTTAGTAGTGTGTGTGGGCAAAGAGTCATCAGCGTAGTAGCCTTCAACAAAATTAGTGATCAGATGCTTTACTATGCATGCCTGAATAAGCATTTCAATTCAGCAGACAACTGACTAAGACTGCCTTAACAGATCTCAAATACCGAATATTGAGTCCTTAAACAAATTTCTTCTAAATACATGAAATGGTAAGCATATTTCATTAGTAAGTTCTGCAGGATTGTCTTCTACATCAAACTTCATTGTCTGGACCTGAATATGCTTTCAGATCAATTATTTTCCTTTTTTCTTTTGACTCAACTTTAATATCTTGCAACTGCCAAAAATAGAAACTTAATAGTTGTTCTGTAGTAGGTACTAATAAATAATAAACCTAGAATTATTTTCCTCATTAGTGAGTAAACTATTGCATTTTTCCCCAATTCTCTTTTTTGGGACAGCTGTTCATATAATAAGTGGTGTCATTACCTTCTACTTCATAATGATACTATGTCTTCAGATATAACAAAGAAAATCTTCCCTGTAAGTGTAAATGTGGAGACATCTTTAGTACGTATTTTGTACCACTACTTAGAAACAACATTGTTCCTAGTTTTAACACAGACTTGATTGTATCTTAATATATCAGTCATGTATGACTGAACTTTGATTCTTGCTTGCTGTCAAACATTCCCCTAATTAAGCTAGAGTTCTATTCTCAGATTTGGAGCCAGTAGAAAACTGGATAGTAGAGTTCAGAACTACAGATAACGAACAGTTCTACACTTGCCTTAAAGAAGTAACTTTTTTCAAAATCTTTTGCATATTTAACCTGATGTTTGTTTTGTATTTCCTCCTTACTTGGTTCTCCTAGTTGTACCACCAGGTTTTTTAACCTTTTTTGAGCCTCCAGTTCTTTGACTAAGCTGTTTTTAAAATCTGTCTACTGTTACTCACCAGTGTGAGGACTGTTGCGGTGTGGTGAACTTACTGTCTTTGCAAACTGAAATGTGGACTTGTATTTAAGAAGGAATGATCACACAAAAATAATGACCAAAAGGAAGGAGAGGGAGATGGAAAACTGGAATTCCTACAAAGGCAACAAAGCATTTTGTCTTCCTTAGTTCTGTTGCTTTTACTGAGATGAAGAAAGAAGTATAGCTTTCCAGTCAATGGGAAGAATGGTACACCTTGCCAGGTCTACAGACTGTGCTTGCATTGAGATTTGACATTTGAAGCATAATGGTTTCTAAGGTTGGGGTTTTTTGTGTGTGTGTTTGTTTTTAAGAAGAGAGAGTCATAAGCTGCGTAGCTTTAAATGCATGCCTCTTACACAACCATTTCAGTTATCCAGCCATTGCTATATGAAAAAGTGGAAAGCTTACCTTTAAAAAAATTTATAGTCTGTTTTTCTTTGATTGTATATCTGTATATATCTAGTATCTTCATGACAATGGAATTATACACCGAGATCTAAAGCCAGAGAATGTGCTACTTTCATCTTCTGAAGAGACATGTCTTATAAAGGTAAGGAAACTTACATTTTTTTCTTGTTCATTTAGCAATTTTGGAGTATTCCTTCCCATTCTTCTCAATATTTAGTTAAACATAGCAAAAAAATATTACGGAATTAGTCACAGAAACTATGAAGTAACTTAAAACATTGAGCTTTTTTTTTTCTCTATAATTTTAATTTTGCTTTTGTGGATATTTCAACCCATACACTTAATTAGAAATGTTGTGCTTGTATAGCATTTAAAATCGAGTACACAACTTCAAATGTCGATACTTTTTTTTTTTAATAAAAACTAAAATCTTGAATTACAGACAGCATTTCCACAAATATCCAGGCTGTATGGTGACAGACTTTTTTTGTTGTTCTTTTGTGGGTTTTTGTGGGGAGGTTAGGGTTGGGGGGGGGGAGGGGTTTGCTTGTCTCTTTTTTCCAGATAAATCATTGAATAGATTTCCATGCTAAACTGCTTATTTTCCAAGTAATCTCTTCTAATAAGCTACAATTCCTTTATTCTGTGGTTGTCCATTTACATCCAAATCTAAGACTACTTTTTGCTAGTGCAAAATGTGATCCTCTGTCATATTTCTCCCTACTCTTCCTCTCCTGTTCTCAGGTGTTGTGTACTGAATACTTAACAATGCTTGGGGTAAATTTTGTTCATAGTCATGTACTGGAACTGACTCGGAAGGAAGAAACTTAGTATTGCCTCCTGATGTATATTGACAATAAGATATGTTCTAGTACAATCAATCCCAATATGTAATGTGGTGTTACCATTTTTAAATACAAGATTACAGATTTTGGACAATCCAAGATTCTTGGAGAAAATTCTCTTATGAAAACATTATGTGGTACTCCCACGTATCTTGCTCCTGAGGTTCTAAATTCACTTGGGACTGCTGGATACAGCCGAGCTGTGGACTGCTGGAGTTTAGGAGTTATTCTTTTTGTATGGTAAGATACTGTGTAGATTATGTGAAGGTATGTAAGATACCTTCATTGGGTAGTCATTGACATACATGGCTCGAGACTTGGCAACTTCGGTATATTTATTAGGAAGTGAAAGTGTGTTTAGAACTATGTAAAAGATGCTATGATAGCACATGCTTTAAAATGTGTGATTTTAGTGTTTCATTTATTTAAAACTATATATGTATAAAAGACGCTATGGTAGCATGTACTTTAATATGTGTGATTTTTAGTGTTTAATTTGCTATGACAAAATCTGTGTTATTTAACTTGTTTTCTTCTTTTATATAGTTTGTGTGGCTATCCACCATTTAATGAGCAAAATACACAATTATCTCTGAAAGATCAAATCACTCGTGGAGAATACACGTTCATTTCAAAAGAATGGAAGCATGTATCAGACATGGGTATGACTCCATTACAGTGGGTAGCAGAATATCTAGTTCTTTTCTTGTATTTTTTTTTTTTTCCCTTTAACTTCCTTTCAGCTGTATGGCACATTGCATGTTGATATGTTTAGTTTTTAAAGTAGTGTCTTAAAAATGGTTGTGGGGGTTTTTTTACGTTCAAAGTTGAAGCATTAGAAAAAGCAGATACATTTTCATCAAAGAGATTTCTTAGTAATAGTTAGCTTTATTAACCACAGAAGTATAGCATCTGTGGGAACATACATCTTTTTTTCCTCTTTTCACTTTTTCTTCTGACTTTACTAAGCTGGTCTACAAACTTTGCCTTGCTTGAAGATTCTTCAAGCATTGTACCAAAACTGCCAGGAATTTAAGGGATATAAGTTAGAATTCCAAGAGAGAAATGTTAAGAGTAATTTCATGGTGCTAGTATTTGAGCTTAAAATATCAGCCACAACTGTGGAATCAAACTAGAGTTTGGCCCATTCTAAGCTAAATAGTCTGCAAAACTAATTGAGTTTTTGCATAGCAAACTAAAATGATAGTTACTGTCTGCATGCTTTTCTTCTTCAGGTCATTTTATATGCACAAAATAATTGTAGTATTTTCCTTGGATACTTCTTTGTATGTGCAGAGGAGTTTCTACTAAATTATGTGATCATTGTTTTTCTAAAACTTACCAAATATAACTCCTTCCTGAATTATCTGAAGCTTATTTGTAAGCCAGACGTGTATGAGAATGAGAAATGAGAAATTATGTTAAGGTCATACATAGTCCTACTGGTATGTATAGCAGAATAATCAGATACAATGAAAAGGAAATCTTGACAAAATTCCTTTATGGGAGATTTGGAATCATAAAGTATGACACAAATGCAATATTTTTCACAGTATCTATAGAGCAGTTTCCTAATAAAATAGAATTTATGTGATTATGTTGAGCATATATCTGTACATCTTGTCTCTTCTTTCCCATCTTCCCAGATGGATAATCTGCTTTCCAAGACAGTGTAAACCACGAAACTAAATTAAGCTGTCTTTGCTTGTCCACAGTAACACTGAAGCTTTTAGGAAAGTGCTGAACTTCCTGTGTATGCTCAGAACGTAAATTGTGGACATGCTCAGTATATCTACTGGTAATTTTGTATACTGAAAAATTTTGAATCGTGTACATGTGAAGAAAAAATGGTTACAGTCTGCAGCCCTCCCTATGCATAGGAAAAAGGAAACGTGATCTGCCCAGCCAGTATTTTTGGGCATTGTTCTGAAGTGTTACAACATGCATTGTTGCACGTAACTTTGATGTATGCATACTGTAGAACTTATTTTCAGGTAATGAATTTATTGATCATACACCAACTAACTCTTTATTATCTTAGCTCTGGATCTTGTGAAGAAGCTGTTAGTAGTGGATCCAAGCAAACGTCTTACAACAGAGGAAGCCTTAGAGCACCCTTGGCTTCAGGTAGGAATTGAGTCTTAACTCAAGTACAGCAAAGCTGGGTTATTCTGGGGTTAACTTCTTGATGTAAATTCAAAGGCAGTTCAATAGCCTGGATGTTAGGAGGTTTTTTTCATACAGTGTAATTCGCTTCTGCAAGGAAGCAGGGAAGCACTGACTGCTCCGGTTACCAGAGATGTAATGCGTGCCTGCGCCTGCTCCTGTGGAGAATACCATAAAAGAGATACAATGATGGGCAATGAGAGCTTCAATTCTTTAGCTTCATGGGAATAACAACTGTTGTCTCAAATCAGAGCTTAAGTCTGCCTGTCCCTAGGTTGTCTCTGACAGTAACAGCAGAAGAGCAACTGTCATTTGGTGCTTCTCATGGGCATGCACTGCTGCCAGCCTGCCAGCTGGCTATACAGTTTCTGCTAGCAGCTTACAGAAAGAGAGAAAGAAAAGGCCAGATGTTTAGGAATTATTTGTTTTTTTCACTGGCATTGTCAATGACATGTGCGAAGAAGAGCCATTAGATCCCAACCTGTAGGATGACATTAGCCCAAATACTGTAGCCAGCACTTTTCTGTTGCTCACTCTGGTTTAGAGTTATCCATCTTGAACAGATTGCTTCCATGTCTCTGTTGAAAGCAAGATGATCTTGCAGCACCTTGTTGTGTGTCAAAGCCTTTGTGGGATGGAGCCGTCTCTTTCTTGCAGCATACAGAACAGAGTTGCTTCTTTGCTCTCCCAACAAGCAAATGCTGTCTCTGCAGCACACAGATTTTCTTCTTTTCCTGTCCTCCTTATCTTTTTGTCTTGCAATGGCAACTAGATTCCCTGTTGTTTTCAGTGTATTTATCTTCTTGGCACCTGTCCCTGGCAAAGCCTTCATTAGCTCCTATCCCTCCCTATTGCTGCTTTTACAGCATGGTATGCCGTCTTGGTCCTTCAGTTCCGTGGTCCTTTTCAGCTGTTGTTGCTGCTATTTGTAGCCTTGCCCAATGCTGTTCAGTGCCTTTTCCCACCCTAAACACAGCTTTGCTTGATCTCCCTTTTTATTCGACTACTTCTTTGCCCTCCACCTTGTCATGAGGTCTTCATATGTCGGTTTTACCTTGCCACATCACACGCTCTTCTGCCAGAGAGAAAAAGGAATCAGTAACTTCTTCCTCTCTTCTCCAAAGTGGCCACGCTATCCTTAGTTTTATGTCTGTTGCCTTTTCTCTTTATTATCTGGGTAATGCATCGTCTTAGGTGTCCTGTTTTCGGCTAACAGCACTGCAGCTCACATGACTTCATACACCCTCTCTACACAAGCTGAAGGCATTTCTCAGCCTTGACCAATTTCATTACCTCCTGATGCAGCCTGACCCACGCTAGAATGTGTTTTGTAGCTAACTACGTCAGGACCCTTGGCAACAGCTATAAGAATAGCTGTCTCCTGTATAGGAGAGCTTTTTGTTTTCTTGGTCTCATGATCTTTACATTGTCATGTAATAAAGGTGGCTCAAAGCAGCTTCGGTCCTTGCCAACTAGTGTAATTCTGTCAGACTAAATCCACAATGTCTCATTTGATGTACCTTCAGTAACCTGTTTTCAGGTAAGGGAGAAGGACTCCGATTCTATAATTTGTCCAGCTGGAAGAAGGCGTTTCACAGTTTATATGTGTACTGTTCTGTGGTTATTTCACGGATGTTTGACTCTGGATCATGTTTTATAGGCGTTGTAGAGTACTGAAGAGTTCTGCTAAACTAGGTCCTGTTCCAGCCTATCACCTTTAGCTAAAGTAGTGTGACTCCTGCAGTCCTTTCATCTCTGGCCTTTCTGTCAAAACAGCTGTATTTTCTTTGGGGAAGGAAGATGAAACTGACTTTTTTAAGAAAATCAGACTTCAGTGGTCTTAATGGTAAATACCAACAATGAGGTCCTCATGGTCTCTGCTTGGGAACCTGACTTGGAATAGGTAGAGCTTGCAAGTATGTCTGGGTCAACACCGTAGATAAGTGGTTGAGCACAAGTGATAGGTACAGTTCTTTCTACCTCTGTGCCATGCCATCCAGCAAGTTACAAGTCTGTTGCTCTACTTAATGCCAGCTTTTGTGTCACTAATTCTTTCCCACCAGCCAGTTGGCTCCTGCTGGAAGGTGTGGTGCCAGCTCAACAAGCAGAGGTTGACAAACATCTCTATTTTTGTTGAAGGATACTGGTATTAAGCTGCTCCTCTCCATACTCTGGTCCTGCTTCAACACCCTTTGTATGCCTCCATGACCTACTCTGAATTTAATGGTAAATCCTGCATCTCTGGGATTTTTTTCTCAGAAAATGAAGACCAGTCTGCATCTGTAGCTGGTCAGTGCTTTCAAGTTTTTAGATCCGACAGAGAGGACTGCAAAAAAAGCATGGAGTATTCTGCTGAGTAACTTCTTTCAATACTGCCAGCAGTTCCTGCATCCTTTCTGAGACACCTTTTCTCAGAACTCTTTAACATCTGAGAATCAATATGTGTTTTTTAGAGACCAAGTCTGCATTGTAACACAGTCCCACTTTGTCATCTTGTTTGTGTGGGCAGGCAGTGCAGAATCCTGAAGTTTGTTTCTGGCAAGTGTCCAGGACTACTATGTTCTTAATATGATGATTATGAGTAAGTGTCACTTGGTTTGGGAAGGTGATGGTTTCCCTGCCTCCTGTTACAGTTTAGTTAGGTTTGTGAGAGGTAGTCTTTAGGTGGTCTTTCATTAATTTTGGCACTCCAGAAGTGACCACTGGGCCTATGAGCTTTCCTGGATATTTTTGCTTGAGAGGCTGAAGAAAATCACCCAGCCTACCTCTAAGCCAGACAACGGGTTCTATTTACTCATGCCAAGCATAATGCTATTCATATTCCCCCACTGTGAACAGTATCTGGTTTCAGATGCTTAGATAAAGAGCGTAAGAAACAGAGTGGAAGCAAGGGAGTATCACTCAGTGCTCAACAGCTGGCAGCTTCCTGAGACAGAAAATGCATTTGGATGACTGTTTTTATGTCATTAATTTGTCCTAATTATACTGCTGGGCATTCATTCCTGGCTTTTACTACTGTAGTTCTGTGTGTACCTTCTAGATTTGATTAACTCACTGTAGATTCGTACATTTAGATTATAATTCTGAGCAGGAAATGTTATTGATAAACCATGCTACACTGATTTTAAGAATTGCTGATATGCATAATGGGAAAGAGGGAATATATGACGGTGATTTAGACAAGCTAAGAATTTGAGACATTTTAGTATGTAAACTCAAGTTGTTAGCATTTTGATTATATATTCCCTTTAGGGATACCTCTGACTGTTATGTTTAATTTTGAAGACAAAACAACAAGTTTCAGAAAACATCATACCCACAAATCCAAATGTCATTTAGCATTCAGATGATATTCTTTGAACTGTTTCCCTTCATGGGTTGTTACTAAGAGTATCAGTTGTTTATAGGTGATGTACACTGCCTGCTTGCAAGGCCAACATCCAATATGTTCAGTTCCAGACATCACACATATTGAATAATACCACCAAAAAACCTCCTTGAGTCCTGTTACTGTGAATAGTGAGAAGGAGTTACTGGCTCCCCACTCCCTCTTGTGTCGTCTGTAAGTATTGTCTTTAAAAGTTAGTATAGAAAAAAAAAAATAGACACATACTTCATATGTACAGCTAATGCCTGTTAGCCCTCTCTAATGATTTTTGGGTGCACTAGGGAATTTTTCAGATATTAAAAGTAAGTATGTTCTCCAAAGAAAACTTAATTTCTACAGCTTTATTTAAACCAGTAGTGCTTTCAAATTAGTGTTTTTAAATACCTCTGCTGTTTATTCCATTCTTTGCTTAAGTCTAAAAGTTTAAAACTTAGTGGGCTGCTTTAAACCTAAGTACTACTCAGTGGAGGTGTCTTACCTGTATTTACCAGGTACTTAATAAATTAACATTTTTCAAAGGCATATAAACAATTAATTGCTGTTTCTGCCTCTGAAAACTTCATTGGGATCTTTTGAATAGGACAAGATTAGTTCGGTTGCATGCTGAAGAAAAAGTCAGGCGTTTGTTATACAAACGGAAAAATATTTATCTTATCTTATCCATGAACTCAAATGTAGCCACAGTCAACAGGTGACACTGGAAAAGACAGACAAGACCCAATTCTATATAAAATAAACTGCATGTTCCCATTAAAGCCTTTGCGTAGCACTTAAGAACATATTAAAACCAAAAAAAGGAGATACTGCAATACTCCATAGCTTCAGAAAAGAACCCCCTCCCCTGCCTTCACCCAAAAAACCCAGTTCAAATTCCCAATTTGAAATCCTTAAGAGCTCAATGATCCTTGTTTCTAATTTTCTTTAGTAGTGAATGTCCCATTCACTTCTCGAGTTTCCCAATCTTTGCTGTGATAATGGAACAAAATTATACAACCTGTTAGCTTCATTCATTTGTTTAGAATAAATGGTTTTGCTTCTAGATCAGTTGGTGAACACATAGCCACTGTTCAAAGCTCAGCCAAAGGAAATTATATGTATTAAATTGCTATGAACAGCATACTTCATTTAGTCCTGGGAAAGGTTTAAAGACCTGATATCAAATTTGGAAGTCTGTTTTAGGGTTTGCAGGTAATCTATAGCAACCCATTCTAATAAAATTCCTGCAGGAGAAATTGCTGAAACTAGAGAATGAGATTTTCTTTTTTAAAACAGGGAATATACTGTGTCAATTAAATGTCTTGTTTGTACTGATTTCTTGTTCCCTGAGATTGCCCAGCATGTACCAAGAGCTGGTCACTAGCAGCTGAACCAGAATGAGGTTACATGCTAGCTTTTTCTCTTGAAACTTGTCTGACTTTCTGCTGACTAGCATCTCTTAACAAAGGATCGCTGCTGCCCTTCCCTCCTGTGCTGTCCTTCCTTCCTCTTAATGCTTCTGCAGCCAGGCGTGTTTATGCACAATTGAGACTAGTTAAGTCCACTTCTTTCACAGTGCACCTCTCCCAGACACTTT